GTGGGTCAGTATTGTTGGGATGGTGAGAGAAAAAAGTGAAATGATTCACAAAAGTGCATTACCTATCATTGCGTTAGCCATTGTTAACCGGAAAATTTCTAGGCGATCAGAAAGAAGAAGGTCAAAGGCAGGCGGAGGCGTCGTCTCCAGCCGTTGTGTCGGCGAAATTACAATCTTCACAAAATTTCTTGAAGTCATCACTTTTCTTGGGGTTGGGGCATCGCTTCATAACAGACGACGTTTCGCCACGCAGACGGACGATAGCGGCTCCATCTGGGTTTAGCCTGCCGACTTGGTCCAGCCCAGAATAATCGAGCCTTTTCGTCATAACCACGCTGATTGTACATATCGGCAACACTTCCACACAAAATTTGTGCTTCGTGTATGTTCTTTTTTGAGGCCCCAGTTGAACACGTGGGCATCGGCTTTCTGGCTGAGTCTCGGTCGACAACCACTGTTACTGCTAGAATGCCCAAGAGGTCAAGGAGGAAGACTTGGCGCTCGGGAGTTTTATGGCAGGAGTGAGACTCGAACCACAAACTATTCTAGGTCGTCGCAGATCTTGTGTTCGGGGCTCACCCCGCTGTGGGTCGGACCGGTGGCAGTCAATTGGCGAAAAATATATTTGGAGCCTTCCGCGTGACGGCTCAATCATTTTGTGGTCGTGGTCTAGCGGTTATGATGTCTGGTTCACACGCAGAAGATCCCCAGTTCGAACCCCGGCGACGTCACTCTCCTCTAGTGGCCCTGAAGGCTGCCGCTCGTGATGGAATGCCTTCTTGGTTTGGACTCTTGATAGAACGGTCGATATGCCGACACTCTTGAGGTCCCCCACCCCACAGAATGGCAGCGGTATGGTGGTTGGCAGCTATGATGTCTGGTTCACACGCAGAAGATCCCCAGTTCGAACCCCGGCGACGTCACTCTCCTCTAGTGGCCCTGAAGGCTGCCGCTCGTGATGGAATGCCTTCTTGGTTTTGACTCTTGATAGAACGGTCGATATGCCGACACTCTTGAGGTCCCCCACCCCACAGAATGGCAGCGGTATGGTGGTTGGCAGAATTTGAACCCTTGCCGACAGTTACTGGTTTTGAACCAGTGCGGGCAAAGCCCAGTAGATTTCAAGACTACCCCCTTAACCACTCGGGCAAGCTGTCCCAAAAGTTGTGCGCTTGGGGACGTGCAGGATGCATTGCGTGTGGTTCGAGGTGGATCCGATCCAGCCCCCACAGGATTGATTCTCTTAATGTGTTCGGCCGCACTCAGATGTGGTGATGCTTCTGGCGACAGCGTTCCAACTCATCTGATGGCACGGGATGGTCTCCACGTCGACCACTCATCCACTACCGGGACTCGAACCCAGGTCGTACGGGTGAG